ATTGATGCAATGTATTCTTGTTTGTTGCCGCCTATCGCACACTTCGAAACCCTTTCATACGAATTCCAAGCTGACGGTGTCATTTACCTTTGGCATATGTTACTCAAGTGTGTACTCGGCGATGACCAAAACGGTTTCTTTCGTCTTACACCTCCTATCTTTTTCACGATCACTATAAATTCTTTGCACTCAGTACCGCTTTCAACACATTTCACAAATTATTTTACGGTTTTCGCTGTGAAGGTGCTAGTGCCTGTGACACCTGAGACTCGTATGCCCATGCGGCAGTGGTAGCGAGATACTACATTCGTCTCGTTTATTCTCAAAACTTTTATTCTCTACCACTATTCCCATTTTTCTGGTTTTCCATTTCATCATACTGGTTCCCCGTCATCATTTTCGTTTCCAATTTTGTACGCCCGCACTCTGACAGAACGTCTTTTCTTTACTTAATTTTTTGTTTTAAGCAATTTCCTGGAGGTCCTGTTAATCTACCTAAGTTTAATAAGCTGAAAAAGAAATCCATTGTCGTAGAGAAATTAGTAATTGGTTGGTTCATTTTACATCTTAAGTTACTTAGTTTACATGTATTTCTGCGCTTGCTTCTTAGCATCTTCGAATTATTAGTCCATATCTGGAATTTTCTGTATATTTCATTACATCTTAACTCAATACCTACCTTCCTATAACTGTGTACACCTATCCGGCGTTCGTTGTTTCCTTTTTCATGTCCCTTCTGTGGGGCATTCACTGAAAATTCTTTCTAGAAGATCAGAGAGTAACGGTGGATTTTTTCTTTGTGGTTGATTAGCTGAAATTAAGTAACTGACTCTAGTTCCATTCTCAAAGCTTAATTTGGTTTGGAACGGGCAAAGCATCAGCTCCAACTGCAGGGATGTTATAAAGGGCATTTAGAATATGTTTGCTATCCTTACTCTTTGTATAACTCTGGTCCGAGTGGAAAGTCTCCTATCAAATTTTTGTATCTGCTTATTGGTTCGCCATAACTTTCAAATCGAATTGTGAAGGGCCTGTTTACAAGTGCTTTAACTCTTTGATCATGACATACCAGATATGTTTAGTGAAGATTGAGAAACAAATATTATTATTAAGATTATTATTATTACTTCTTATGGGACTGTGATTGAAGTCACTAGGCTGTCATATCTTGCTGAGTTCAAGTGGACAAAATTTTCTTCTGAACTTCGGTGCACTGCATTGAAGTGGGGGAGGAACACGCTATATTGGTCATGATCGTCTAACGCTATCGCGCAAGGTCCAGCAACTGCGGTCTCTCTTGTAAGAAACCAATTGGATACTGCTGCCGTTTAGAGTTAGGAAGAGGATCTAAGTTGAAAAATCCAATTTGAATGCAGTGAACGTTCAGCGTATTCCTGGGTGTCTGGCTTCGGCGGCGATATCTGCTCTCTGGTTGAATCTGCCCGTGAAAATTGTTGAAACTCTCCAACCTTGGTCAAGACGACAAAGGGGAACCAGTGTGTCATGGAATTGATGCCTGTAGCCCATATCCGTGTAGCGTTTTGTTTCAAAATCCTTTCCCCCTATATACCAAATAGTTGAATTTCTCCATTCCTTCAAGCTAATTGGACTCCATTGAAATTTTACACTGTCATCTAAAAGGGGGTGTGCACTCACTGGTTGGCGGGACACCCTTCGTCTATACCTTTTCTTAGCCAAGTGGGTACACAACACTTGCAAATTCCTCCATATAGAAATCCCGTTTCTCCATAGATTTTACAAGATGGTCCCTAAGCTTTTTAAGTTGCAGCTAGTGGACACTGACATCCCTAAATGCTATGGTCCATTGAGTGATCAAACCCAAGCCAGACAATATCACACTCTGTGTGGTCATCTGTTACAACATCAGCGTATTTGAGATTGGTAACTCCACGAACATCACGTATATTTTACGAGTGTTTATGCCCGTTAAACACAACGTGAAAGCTTTAAACACCATGTTGGAAGATCGATGCAGGCTCTTGATTTCCTTAAGGACTCATTTGAAAGTCCTATGCATTCAATTGGCTGCGAAAAGGTAGTTACAAGGTCTTAAGAAAGGTTTTCCTGACCAGTGGCGCACTTGTTTGGCGCACAATGGAATCTCAGAACGAGCTTACACAAGCATGCTGGCTATATGTCACACTCATCTATTCCTTAGTGACAAAATATCGCACCTTTTCAGTTAAACTGCTTTGGTCGAACCATCGATTTTGTCTGCAATATTGCACTGTTTGCCGGTCGGCAGATTGTCGCATTCCGCTGCACCACACAAGCAGTAGTAGAATCCAGTCACACTATTGTGGGAGCGCAACGTGTACATCATTTTTCTCAAATCCCCAAGGTCGTAGTGCATACAGACCCTAGTTACAATATCTGTGCATAAGATAGGTAGAAATATATCACCTACACTCAGCCATATTTCCATCACACGGAGTCCAGATGTGATAAATTTCAACCTATACCATTCCACTCCCCTTAATCCTCCTTTGTAACCTATGAATATGTTGCGTTATCTGTGTTTGCAAATGGTGCGCTCCATTACTAGGGATGCCGTCCGCCATCTGTTTATACCACAATCATCAGTGGTGTCATTCTTTCCGACAGTTTCAATTTACAAAACTATTAATGTTGAAACCTGACAGTATACGGACCTGTTTCCTACATCGCTTTGGAACACACTGCTTATACCAACACCTCAATGACTTTACTATGGGACCTGTCGTACCATGGCTCGATGCGGCAATTCCGGTGTCAGTTGGCATGCCTAATTACTTGTTGATGCGGACAGCTGCACTAGGCATACGGGGTTGACTGCTCTCTTTCAGAAAGTCGGCACGAAATTATGTAGTCTGGATCAGTTTGTCGGCCTTAGTGGCAATACTGAAGACCATACACCTCGGTAATGTATCAGATCATTCATCTGCTAAGTGCTCAGAACACTGCAGGTTGTACAGTACCCGCGTTGAACAGGTCGAGGAACGGTAGCACTGCCCATTGTTTTACGCTAGAGGTGCACATAGTTAGGAGGCGCATGTCGATTACTGAATAAGCTTTATTGCATAAAACATTGGGCTTCTGATGCATCCCACCTCTTCCTCGAAATTACCCCGGTGGATATGTATCGTTTAAGCGTCCCAAATGATTTCTCCCCACTGGTTTGACTAATGATGCAAACCAAATGGCATCGACAGTTTCATCTTCCGTATTATTATCTTCAGTACTTTGCACAGAAGTAAGGCTTTGGAGGTGTAGTTACTTTCCTATTAGCATTGTGTACGTCTGTGGTAACTTGTTCAGTATAGTGGTCCAAAACGATAAGTGGTTCTTAATGACGCGGAAGTGAAGTAACACAAATGACACAGTGGAACGACCATTTGCTAACTCAGGAACCATCAACGTTCCTGTGTTTACAACGGAGTAACCCTCTCTCTCCTGATTTTCGGACAAAAAGTTGAAGCGGCCATCGGTGCGTGTTAAACACGAAAGCACGTTTGCAGTTGGCGCAACGAAGCTGAACACCATTTGGATGATCTTCTCTCAGAACATCTTACATGATAAAAGTTAGGATTTTTGACAAAAATCTCTTATAACCCTTCCCTGGTATTAGAGACAAGGTAGTAAGAATAGCAAAAGTTCTGGAATTGACCTAGATGATCACCGTCACTTTCATCTGATGAGTACTTTCATTCAGGGGCTTGTAATCAGAAATGTTCACTTAGCAGAAAGGGAGTGTGAATCTGTTACACTGCGAGTGCATGGCACTTGTCCGACATTCTCCTTGTCTATACCAGTCGCATTGTTCACCAACTTGAACAAGGTATGATGAGTTGACGATTGGTGCACGCGCTTTCTAAACTATGACGTTGCAGCGCTCTTCCTGTTGCAATGAGACAAGTCAGGCTAAACCATGAAGCACTCTACGACAAGTTGTGTTAGCCATGAAGTGGTACGGAACTGAATTCCGGCGCCGAAGTTACTAATATTCTCGCGCTTAAAAACGTGTCGAACTGTACTTTTCGTTTAAAAAGCTGTGATAATACATCAAGCGTAAATAAGTCACATGTTTTTCTAGACCATGCAGGACAAATGATCCACTTCTGAAGCGGCAGTGCATGGGCAGTCCAGTTAGACTTCATGAAAGCAGATCGCGTTGCTCTCCTTGTTGATGCAATAGAATTTTGGTATACAGTGAAACATAGATATCTTTAGTGTAACCTCGATTTTCTTTACTAACATGATTAGCTTAAACTTCGAACTCAGTAACTTCAAAGTTGTCTGGTAAGGCGTTCCCAGTTACTGGTTCAAGAACCAAAAATACACCTACTTGGAAGATCTGTTGACATGTCCTAAAGTTGCCATCGGTGACAGACATATTTCAGTGCTGTCCTCGACTACACACTGCTTGTTATTTAACTCATATTGTGCCTGTCAACAAATTGTCCTTAGTGATAACATATGTATAAAGGAATACAAGGAACCTTTATAAGTATACTAATATGCTTTCCTCAATGTAGTTGTGATCTGGAACTGATTGGAGGTTGTTAACTTAAGAGGGGCAATTTGTTAACTTCAATGAATTGACAGTAATCACTACCAGACAAGCTACGTAACCATACTTTGACAATGCAATGAGGACTATTTGCCTGAGATCTTTTCACGCAGCGCAGCCGCTCGTAGTTGTCCCTCATAATTTTATAAATGTACTAACTTTGGCGATCAAACTAACGTCATTCAACTTAATTACTTTGCTAGTGTGAGATTCCACCAGTGATTTTCATTCTACCTAACGGCATCCATCAGTACGGAACCACTCAGTTTGAGTCTCATGTCGAAATGCTTTTAACTACCAAGCCGGTAGACTAAGCGGATATTTTGTTACACTACACACACATATATATAGATACACATAAACGGAATCTTCATAGACATACCGGAATTGCAAACTGGTGTGGCAGTAGAAGAGATAACCTGGAACCCACCTCATAATAATACCTCTTCAATGAGTGTATCGGTTTGCTGAAAGCGCTGCAGATGGGTAGCACGAAGCCGCACATGCCTTCCAGGATAGCGAAAAGCAGCAGCAGCGAAGACATTGCAGATGTGCTGTAAAGAAACGCCATATTCTCACCATTATGACCTGTTGCTTCAAAGTGTTGCGCAATCACATAAAGAATATACAAGCGCAAAGTATACTTAATTGACCTGGCAATTTAGCATAGAGGTCTCCCGGCAAAAGTTTGTACGATTAACTGAGTGACAGTGCAATTTGTGCGAAGAACCAGTTGTCCAACTACATTGGACCTCAGTCTCAAAGGACAAAAGGCTATCACTCACACAGATACGCACGCTATCCAAACTGAAATTTTCCGTGCAAATGTTTTAGCCATGGAATACGATTTGTTGGGTAAAAAGTGGCATTGGTGTTGTTCCGAATTAGATATAATCAAAAAGCGCAAAATGCAAGCTGATGTGTTTATAATTAGCATAACGCTTTTTTACTTTCACGTCACACGAAATTCATTTTAATTAATCGCTAGTACTTGTCATGAAAGCTTACACGCAGTGCCCATAAATATATTGTTTTTTGATAGCTTTACTCTGCATGAGTGACACCATTTTAACATTAGTGCCAGAGATAATATAATTGTAGCCGTTGACAATTTTGGGACGCCTTGCATCAAAGTTGATAAGCTACAGGAAGACAGGACCATACTAAATCCATAACACGGAGGGTGACAACTGATAGTTCCGACTGATATGCGCGGTTTCTTCAACCATAAGAGCGCGTTCCGACTCAGCCATGCAAACCGAATTATTTTCATCTTATTTCCAGCGATTTTGGGATCCCACTAAACTTAAAGAAACGTTACTACGTTGTTTTCGAAACCTTAGAAACAGTTAAGTACCACAGGCCAAATATGTGAGGTTGCCGTTCTATGCAAAGAGGTGACTTTAACTGACTTTGCCCAATTGAAAGTCTGCATGAGTTCTGTTATGCATCACTTACGACATAGTGAACTCATCGATATCAATTTCCCGTTTTGTCAGCCACTCACAAACTACTTTTCAGGCCGTTACTATCAGCCTTCATTGCTCATTACAACATTGTTGGGAAACAAGGAAAGTTCACAAATGACACCGCGTTATATTATTTTTCACCATTTTAATATTTTGCAATTCTAATGGCAACAACATCTGATCTACCACTGGCCAGACATCGATCAAATTACGATTAAAATTCACGCACAATAATATGCCTCGACGGGGAGTCGAACCCCGGTCCACGAATTTCCGGTCCGCTGCTCTACCACCTGAGCTACCGAGGGCTGACGATTAGGTGCGCAAATGTTAACACATGTCTTCTGTTTGGTGCGCGACGTGTTGCGTGAATTTTGATCGTGGCTTCTACTTTCTTCGAACTTTACACTACTCACAAACATCCACCATTAATCGATCAAATTAGTTAGGATAATGTCCAAATCAAAATACCACCTTTTTATCACCATGAACTCATCCTTGTTAGTGACAAATGGAATACATTTGCTATGGAGATCCACTGGTTCCGCAATGGTAACAGATTTTTTGAAAAAGCACGCATTCACGTTGTTATATTCAATGGTTCAATGGTGTGTGATGGGATAAAAAGCGTAACTTTACAAGACCCACAGGATGGATATGCAAAAGAATATTAAAATCAAAATGTTCCAACGTGGAACGTAAAGTATCAGTGGTTAACTCAGTGCTCTTTAGCAAAGTGTTGTGTATCGTTTATCACTAAGATGAAAATCTAAGAGTCTTTCGAATGTCGTCATGTCTGGTGCATTCACCACATAGTTTGGTAATGCATTCCAGTGAGAACAGATTCTAAGTGAGCAAAAATACTTTCTACAATTCAAATGAGAGTGTTGCGTCATTAATTTCAGGTGGTTGCCTCGGTTTTGTTTGTATGGGGCTTGAGTCAACAGTGATGTACATGGATGCTCGCTTTCGGTTAGTATCCGGTATGTGAGAGTAAGATCTCAGCGAAACCGTCGGTATTCTAATGAGAACACACCGAGTACATGAAGATGCATTTCGTAACTTATACCAGATAGTCCACGCGTTGCCTTTGTGGCTGTTCTTTGGGGCTGTTCCAAGAGGCTGATGTCTCGTTTTAACCATGGACACCAGGCCTGAATTGTATATACAACATATATATTCAAACAACGATACGAGAACAACTTAAGATCAGATGATTTTGATGGCAGAAGGGCGACAATAAATTTCTTATATTGCAACACGAACCATAAAGTTCTATTTGCCGTTCTCCCTACCTGCAACAACCTCTGCAGCCAATAGCTGTCTCAACTAGCGAGTACTGCTGCAAGTTTACTTGGTTTACTAGATGCATCAATCTGATATGCGCCGGTTGTTTCCCTTACTTAAAACATAAATCGACACTTTTAGCTTATTCCATCACCCTTCAGTCTGAGTTACGTGGTTGTCGAAGCTAGCTTTTAAAACGCGCATAGGAATTGACTGCTGAACTTGATAAATGATAAATGATAAATGGTATATTCCTCGGTGTTTCGAGGTGCAGTCCAACTATGTGGTCTGATCAATGTGTATTGTGTACCTTCTGGCCCAAGATGAGAACTTCTTAACATAAGTCAACAATCACACTTGTTGAATATGGTGCAATTACCTCCTATTGGGTGCCTACAGCTTGTGTGATTAATAATTAAAAATGGGTATGGTGTACGAAATGCTGAAGCGGACTGAAGTAAAAAGGTCGCTCCGGCAAACCAATTACTGTAATCTGAGTAGTGCCTAACTACATACGTACAGTAAGGTGTCGCAAGGAGAAGGACGAACCAAATGGGAAGCAGTGAAATATGCACTTATGTGTATGTCTGGGGTTGTGTGCACGTGTCTGTCTAGACTAGCCGTCAAGCATGCTGACCGAATACACAACACCTCTCCGCTTAATCATGTAATGCATCGAAACCATATCGATTCGGTGGTCTTGGTTCTCGGCCCGTCCTGCGGAGTTGCGTGCTTTGCGTAATTTCGTCAGTGAAGCTTAGTGTCATATGCTCCGCTCGTCTGCTACTTGCATATAACCTCCGTGAGTTGATTTTGCGGTAAGTGCCTGGCCCACATGCATGCGTTATTCTTATCGAGTATGATAACGTGGGCTGTACTTTTGATGCAGCGTTTAATTTCACGGGCACGAATGTTCCATGCTGGAGCGGAGTAGTAAGCTTCCGGTAAATGTTCTGATATCAATGGCGACAATCTTACTCGTCGGAATTATTGGTTGCAGGAATCGGAAATGCGGCATTCAACTCTGTCCGAAGGGCATGCCCAAGCATGAGTTCAGTCAGCGTTTTGTATGTGGCTCGGTGGTATGCGGTTCGGAAAGAAAATAATGCTTGTAGAACTGCATCCTCCCAATCTGTACCAGATAAGCGAATAGTTTGAATACTGGCTTTCAAGGACCCATTAAACCGTTCCACCATGCTGTTTGACGCTGGATTATACGGAGTTGTACGTGAGAATCGGATGGATTGACGTTGAAGGAACGAAAGCAACTAGTGGCTTGTAAACTGCCGGCCGTTGTCGGACACTATCTCCTCTGGTAATGCGAAACGGGAGATGTATTTCTGCCATCGAATAATACTGGCAGTAGTCACCTCTCCACACAAATGGAATTCCGGCCATTTACTGTAAAATCAGGTCGGCACCAAAGAGTTCCTTTGGTGCTGAGGCGCTGAGTTAAATGGACCCACGATGTCAAGAGCTACCTTGGCCCACGGTGGCATAGGGTAGTCTATTGATTGTATAGGGGAGGAAACCGATCTTGAACTCTTGTCTGCCTTTTGACATCAAGAGAAGTCATGAACAAGATTTTCTATTTCGTGTGACATTCTGGACCAACAGAAGCATGTGTCAACCTTGCGTTTGGTACGAAGGCTACCAGGGTGGCTTTCGTGAGAACATAGCATGATTTTTTGCGGCAAACTCCGAGGAGTCACAAATTTTCGTCGTGCGTTAAACATTCATCTATAAACGAAATTTCGTGACTCAACACGGAGTATGGACGAAACTCGCCTGTGATCTCATTATTTTGTAGCCAGCCGTTTAGCAGAAACCCCTGAAAGCGGCAGAGTGTGTCGTCTACCTACGTCGCCTTCTGGAGTTCTCCCTTAGTCAGGGCTGATATTGCTTTATTACTCAGGGAATAAACCAGTAACCTCTCAGTATCATCATCATCATCATCATCATCATTATCATCATCATCATCATCATCATCATCATCATCATCATCATCATCATCATCATCATCATCATCATCATCATCATCATCATCATCATCATCATCATCATCATCATCATCATCATCATCATCATCATCATCATCATCATCATCATCATCATCATCATCATCATCATCATCATCATCATCATCATCATCATCATCATCATCATCATCATCATCATCATCATCATCATCATCATCATCATCATCATCATCATCATCATCATCATCATCATCATCATCATCATCATCATCATCATCATCATCATCATCATCATCATCATCATCATCATCATCATCATCATCATCATCATCATCATCATCATCATCATCATCATCATCATCATCATCATCATCATCATCATCATCATCATCATCATCATCATCATCATCATCATCATCATCATCATCATCATCATCATCATCATCATCATCATCATCATCATCATCAACATCATCATCATCATCATCATCATCATCCCCCGTGGCCCAGTGGCATAAGCTGCTGACTGGCGGTTCAATCCGCTGGTGGTCATGGGTTCAAATCCTGATGGATCCGATGGATGCGCACTACTGATGATGCCCAACAGGCTGAAACTGCAGTCTAGTGCTTTTAACTTACTATTGTCTCGCCTTAATAGGCTGAAGGGTATGAAGATCCACGTGCGCGCTGACTTAGAACCGGCAGACAGAGAGAAACTCAAGTCTGCCATGATTGAACTAAAGCGGCGCACGGAGGATGGAGAAACAAACCTCCGTATTGTAAATTTTCGAGTAGTTGCCCGGGTTCCTCCACG